CGCAGAAGCTGCGGACCGAATGCGGATCGTTGACTCACCGGAGATCAGGAGATCCGAGCGGAGAGGCCCTTCCGAGACTTTGCCGCCCGGTGGAAGAGCCAGGCGAACGTCGCTTGGTGGCGTTCGAAGCAGGCGGATCGGGCAGGGCAGTCATTTCTGCGGCAGGTTTCTGTGGTGATGTGTGGCGTTGAATTGGAATAGATTCGGAATAAGGAGCTGCACGGCTCCTAGATGAAAAGCTCCAGCCTGAGGTGTTGTTTATTCTCAGTGGAGTACTGTCCTTGGCATTGACTTCGCCGTAAGAAGCATCAGTTGGAAGCATTAATGCAAGCATGAGCTTCTTAGCTCATGGTTCTTCAAAGTGGCCCAGCTGGAGGTCCCTGCAAAGCCTCACTCAATTTGAGGGGCCCGACTCAGGGCCCGACTCAGCTTTTCTTCGTCACTTTTGACGCTGCGCCAAGGTGACTTGGAATCATATGCTCTATGATTGTGTCCTTTCAGCTCGCTGCGCAGGCCGCATCGTTGCTTCGACCCGCACAACGGACTCCTCCAGTGCAAAGCTGCATGACCTCTGGATCACCAACACCAAACAAGGAGTTTTTGTTCTCTTTGAATTAAAACACAGAGGTCAAATGGGCTTATTAGGTTCGTGGATATTTTTTGGCATGACCAAGTAGGCCTCCGTCTAGTTTGATCTGGTTTGACGGCTGGTTAGCATCTGACTATACCTTCTTGACATTCCTCGTTCCACAAAACCGCTTCCGGCTTCCAATCCCTTAGGGTCTTCTGCCTGGCCAGCGGCGCTTTCTTTTCCGGAAGAAGCTGCGAGCGCAGGCGTCCGGCTGCCCGAGAGCATTTCGGAGGAACTGGCTGACGAGGCGCGAGCCACGAACTGGTTCAGTCGCATCGTCTTTGAGAAGAAAAAACACATGCGCGGCACTTGGTTGAAGAGGGAGAATGTGGACAACATGAGAAGGAGCCGAAACCCAACCGCAAAAATACCGGGCCCCAACCCACCCATGGGATTGGTGTCACCTTTCCAAGACGAGTCAGACTCACTCGATCTCACGGGTTCAATCAAACAAGGAGACCTGGACCATCCGGATCTCCGGATGGACCTGGCTGGATACCCAGCCCACTAATGCTCTCCGGGAGCTCCACACCCAGCCACATCCAGATGGGGTCCAGGATGGTCCAGGTGACGGTCCAAGATGGTCCATGCAGGTACCTCTGAGATTCTTCGATGTCTCCCTCCCAGCCACGCAGCCCGTTCCGCCGCGGGAAGCCGCGTGGCGTTCACGCCACGCCGGAGCTGAGGCGCTGGCGTGGGGCTTTCGGCAGCAATTGGCGGCGGTGTTCCACAGCAACTGGACCACCTGGGCCGCCTCCAAAGCGTCACTGGGTGGCATCACTAACGACAGAGTGGACGGTAGTAGATGAAAGCACCGGTTCTGCGAAGGACAATGGTGTGAAAGAACTGGTGGGAGAAGCCGTGTCAAGCCCTGTCAGATAGATGAGGGGGCTCACGAGAGAGTGAAAGAAGTAATTAGATGGAGTTAGTAGAGGAAGGATAGGAAGGATGGTCGAATTCCAAAGTGAATTTCCAAGGCGATATGAGATGGCATCGCCTAAGCCCAGACACGACCCATGGGCCTGCCATAGGACTGCCGCCCCAGAAAGACCCCCTCTGGCACCACCCCGAACGCCCGTTTTGAAGGCAGTCCTATGGCAGTTCCATGAGTCCTGTCTGGGAAGCATGTGTTTTTTTTTTTTTTTTTTGGGGGGGGGGTTGGTATAGCAATGACACCCCGTGAGACACCAAAACAGTCCATTTGATCGCTGGCACTACCACAGGTGGCACGCTGTGGTGGAGCAGATGAGGAATGCCAGTGAAAAGGGCTGGCCAAGGCTTGCAATATGGTCCACTCATGATAGCAGCTTGATTTGAAATATCGGAGAAGCATATAGAACAAAACCAAGTGCAAACATACCAAACCATTGCCGTGTGGACGTTCCCTCTTTTTTCGCCACGTTTCCCCGCCCAACCGTTTCTCACCCCACCCACCACAACATGGGGGGAGCCGTGCCACAGTGGCGCGGCGCGGCCGAAGCGCTTGAACCGCGGCCAAGGCACCATGATTTACATGCTCCATGCGCTTCAAGCTTGGGACGCTCGGCCGGAACGCTCGGCCAGACCGGTCCCGTGGCGTCGTCCCACCGCGCGGAACGCGCACGGAGAACCGGGCTCGGAGCTGAGGATCGGATTTGGCCGGGCCAGGGGCTCAGGGGACGAATGTCCGACTGGCGGGCGGAACGTGGGCGGAATGTGGGCGGAACATGGAGAGCTCCAGAAGAAGGTGTTTCAAATCGTGCCAAGCGCCACCTCCGGCCATCCTAAGCCCCACTGGGGCGGAGAGAGAAAACGCCTCTAAGCCTCTAAGCTTGCTGCGCAGCAGCGGTGAAGAGGCGAGCGCGAGCGCGCTGGGCTAGCTCGACGCAAGGCTATGCCACTGCAGTGGTTCTGGAGCTCTATGCCAGCGGATCGGAGCTCTTCGTGCGAATGGTCCGAGACGGAAAGCCCTTGGTCCTCTCAAGCTGCGATCACAAGGCAGCTAGAGGATGTTGGGGGCCCATGCAGGGCCTTTTTTGGTTTTGGGCTTTGTGTCCGTCTTTCTCGGGGCATGTTTGGACCTTTGGTATGATTCAAAACGCACAATGGTTTTGGCAATGGCACTGCTTGGGGTGATTGTGTGGGTGGGTCCACTATGCTGCTTACACGTTCGGAACGCTGCATCGCCAATGCTACAGATGAGATGTTGAGAACCTTAGTACTGGCTGCTCAACAACATTGAAGCATTGAATAAACCTATGACTGTGTTAAACCATGTTAAACCTGCTGTAAAAGTTATTACCTAAGCATTGAATTTGGATGGTGTTCTTAGTTGGTGAGGAAGTGCTTGACAAAAGGACTAGGAGAAAAGCCACGGATGTTTGGACTTGCCACTTCATGTAGTGATGCAACCACGCGCTCAGCATGCTGGGAGTCCTGCCAGGTACTGTGCCCATGGCCTAGATTCTTGTGGCTGGCTCTGAGTTTAGACAGCTGTTAGAAGTGAAGGTAGTGAGACTTGGTGGACCCAAACGCAAGAACTCACTAGCATTTGATGACCAAAAACGGGGCATGGCATGGCATGGGGTAGTTAGATCACCCACAGAAGATGAGAAGATGAGAGATACTTTCTTCCATGACCTGTTCATTGTGTGAGGCGACTTTGTGGATTGAAGTTGTAAACTTCTGCCTGCACAAAGCCAACAAAGGCACATGGTGCACAGCACTGTTCCTCCTTGCGACATGTTGCCACCCGCCGTGGACGGAGCAGAACGAGTGGAGCAGGCCGAACATCTGGAGTTGTGGTTTCAAGGAGCAGATGGCACTCTCACACCTGCCATGCCTTTGAGATGGACCAGATAAACCATGGTAAACCACCAAACTTGGGACATTTGTGCCATACACCGACCCGGGCTGGAGAATGCGGGCAAAAAAGCGCAAAAAACGTGTCACCACGTGATGGGGTCACCGGTCATGGGGTCACCAGGTCATCATCCACTGGGCCCTTGGGGCGTGGGATAGACCCAAACCATGTCAATTCTGAGCCCGTTAAGGCAAGCCGGGAAGGAAGCTGGTTCACCACGATCAACCCGCAAGAAGGGCGACCAGCAAGAACCCACCGAGTGGGAGTTCAGAGTTTTGGTGCTCAGATCCAGATTGTGAACATAGGAAGGGAATATATGCCGATATCTGCCGATCAGTTGGGGCGGTTTCAGCTAATGTAGATCCCATACATGGAATGTCAGGGTATGCATAGGTGGTCTCAGACCAGTGGTATCTCCTGCTTTAAACATGTTGGAACCCGAAACCTCCACGCCGCCGAGCCAACGACCGGAGGCAGCACCGCTCCCTATGGGCTCGGCGCTCGGTGTGGCGGCGCTCGGCACGAGCGCGGCGTTCCTTGCGGCGCTCCTCGCGGCAGCGCGCCGGCGAGGTGGCTAGGGCGGTGGGAGATGGACGTGAGGAGCGCCCTGGAGCGCTTAGGGAAACGGAGACTAGATGAGACTGAATTTGAGTCTTAGACTAGGTCGAATTAGATGGGTATATAGGTATGGTTTAGATTGGGGAAGAATTCACTGGATGCGGCAACATCAGGCAACCCACGTTCGCCTGGGACGAATCTCGCGGTTCCAGCGGCGAGAAGTAGCCTGCGCGTTCCACGGGGTCAGGCCAACGGCAGGTGCTTGCAGAGGCCTTGTTGTGAGAAAAAGCCTCCGGGGTCTTGGAACGTGGCAGTTGAGATGCGGTGGCATGCTCGGGGCCATGCAGAAATGAACAGAAGGTGGTTCGATGTTGTGGGCCCTCATGATGACTGCATCAAGTGGCAGTCACCGACCGCTGCCAACGTCCCACCTAGTTGTAGTATACGGTGTAAGTGCCACAAGCGAACAAGATTGAAACATCAACTGCTGGCAGTCAGGACTTGAATCATCATGTTGAGTCTATACCTGGACCATCTGGAAGCCTATAGGTAGTGTGGGGTAGTCCAGCCAGGACACCCCGACAGGATGGTCCTCATGTTGCAACAGCTTCTTATAGACGGTCCCTGGCTGCCAAACTGGCCTAGTCATCGAGCACAGGACTCGCACCGTGTGCGAGTCCAACAGGAGAAAATGACTTCAGCTAGTCATTCTTGACCTTGTCATGCATTCTGAGCATGCCTGACTCACTAAGAAGGGCTTGCAGGCACATCAACAGCATGAACCACCCGTGGAGCCTCCATTTGACCTCCGTTTTGATAGGACAACTCGCCCTTAAAGGCTATTTTTAAACACAATCTCTTTGGGGGTGGTTCGGTGAGCCAAGGTCCTTCAGGTTCAACGCTGCCGCTTCCGTTCCGCCGGAAATCCGGTTCAAAGTCCCGTCGCCCTCCGGTGCCAGCGGTCCCACCATGAAGGCCGCGGACCCGCGCGGCGTGGGACCCGCTGGGCCGGGCCCGAAGATGTATTTTCTATTGAAATCCGAGAAGCCACCCAAACTGGGTGGTGCTGGTATTTAATACTGTATTTCCTACCTACGCGGCCTTTTTCTCTGCTGCACGACCTAGAAGGCATTGGGATTTCTGCTTGGGGCTAAAAACAACACCTGGCACTTCTGCCGTCCACGTGGGCTGAAGTTTTTCGCGAGGAGGGTGGCTTGGAACAAAAGCTAGGGGTATCCTGTCGATGACCTCATTCTCATGCTCTTTCACTCATCCATCAGTGGCCTCAAAGGAGCCGACGGCCAGGTCGACTTGAAAGAGGTTGGTTGGAATACTCCCATGCAACATGGACCCCAAAACCACTGGGTTTTGTAGAGGAAAATGGTCTTCACAGGGCAATTCTCTGGTTCTCTGGTTAGTTTGCGGGGGAATTTTCGAAAGGAGTCAACATTCCTCTGGTTCCAACTGGTTGTAAGTCACCAACTGGTAAGTGAAAAGAAAGTCAGAACAGTTGTAAGAGCAGTTGTAAGCCACCAACTGGTTCTGATTGTTTTTGATCCATCAACTTATCAACTCATCAACCTCCCGCTCCTTCTGCGTTCCACACGCCATCGGCCCCCCTTATTCATCACGACCTCCAGGCCGCGATGTCGAGCCCCACGGACTTTGAGGAGGTGGCGAAGAGGCGAGGAAATGCTAAACCATGGGAGAAGATGGAGAAGGCATGTATGTGGAACGGGTCTGGATTCACATCTAATTATTCCTATAGGGAGATGGGGGGGGCTCTAAGGCAGGAACCATGAGAAGGAGACGATAGATATACCCTACCAGGGGCACGAGCCTGCCAGGTCACCACCTGCGACGTTCAAGAAGGTCCGGTCAGTCTGCCCCAAATCCTCTATTTCGGAGACCGGTTGGAAGGTTCTAAAGATGAGATGGAGAAGAATAGATATCGATAGATGGTTTGATGTGGCTGTGGGTCATGGTGCCGTAGACCCGAACTGCCTCGGTGCACCGGTCGCAGTTCAAGGCGAAGGAACTCATTTCAAGGTCGCCCGAGTCGGAGGGACCATGGCTTCTCCGGGCGCCACGCAAAAAGGGAGACCAGACTGGGGCAGGGAGTCACCCTCACGATCGGACGGCTCACTTCGCGGATCACATTTCCTGAGAAACTTACGGCTCTTAGATTATAGATGGCTCACTTACTTCGCCGAAAACCACCCCACAAAACGAACTGGCCCCTTCCAAGTGCCGTCAACCTCAACCCCCCCTGCCGCTCTCCTCGGCGAACTCGCCGGTGGCGGCGCCGCTTCTCCTTGCCGCCCGGCGTGGTATCGGAGGTGCCTCGATGCGCGGCATTCGAAGCCCGGGAAGCCTGTGACGCGCCTCGGCGTAGACGTCGAGTGGCTTCGTGTTGTGCGGTCCTGGTTGCAGTCAACAGGGGTGCTGACGTTGCGGGGTAGGGGCGCCGACATCTAGTCACTTAGGGATTAAAGACTCACATCTTTTTTCTAGGCTGTGTTTTGATGATCATGGGAGGAGAGCTGAGAAAAATGAAAGCCTTTGTCAAGCTTCAAAGCTTCCCAGGAACAGTAACAAGGGCATCGCTACGAGTAGCAAGGGCATAAGTACTCTCCTAGTAGCATCTAGTAGCAAGAAACTACTAGCAACAAGGGCATTGCTACTATAAGACATATAAGAGGCCGTTTTCCCCTTCGGTGAGGAGAAGGGGTTTGTTGGTGGGTTCACGCCTCGACTGCATTCTGTTCCCCTCGGGCGAACACCGGTTTGGGTGCAGGTGCCACAGGTGCCAGTCGCCCAAAAGCCTCCGGAAGTTCAGGTCTTGCAGTCTTGCGGAAGTCAAGCTTCCGACGGTGGAGCCGTGTCGTGTGAAGACGGATTCGATACGTCGACGTTGGCCCAACCGTTGTGGATTCGGTCGAGGCCGGAGCCGCGAGACGGGTAGAGGCACCGGGGTCTTCGTGGGTCGTCGCCACCGGTTCTCCATGTCCGGTTTGCTGACGGGAAGCGACGGTCGCCTTGGTTCCCCCTTGGCGGTATACGATGCAATGGCACTACCTCGCAGGAACCGAAGTAAGTTATGGAAGATGATGGAAGTGCCTCGATGGTAGTGCCTCAACCCACTAAAACCACATCGCACTACCCATTTTCCATATTTTTCCATCCAAAACCTGGAACACGTAGGGGGCCTCCCGGCCTCCGCCCTCACCGGGGCCATCCACGTGATCCGCCCCGGTGAACACCTCCCGACCCCAGGGCCCCCCGGGTGCCAAGCAGCTCCGAGCTGAGGTTCGAGGAGTTGGAGCTGAAGAGCCTCTGCCTCGCGGTGGGGGCACCAGTGGCCCATTGCTTCGGGGGTCCGTCTCTGCGACGCCCAGGCGTCAGGGGGCTTCCGAACCAGCGCCGAGGGACACGAAGGAGTCGGGGGGTTCGTGGAGCCGGAGCGGGCTTCCGAAGTGGAGATGGGGCGGCTTTTCTCGATTTCCCCCGCTCAAAAAGGTGGGTGGAGGATCGTTTGGAACTCCTTCGACGGCCAACATCTCGACCCGTTCGCTCGCGTCATTGGTGTCGCCACTTCGCCGCCAGCCGTTCGGTCGCTCGTGGAGCGGTCTGAGGTCCGACAGACTTTACTTTCACAAAGCCCCTTCCTGGAGCTTGAAGTGCGGAGCCCCGGCTCCCGCTTTGGAATTAGCGTGTCCACGTTCAAGCTCAGTGTCGATGTTGGGCCCGTGGAATCCAAATCCATCCGAATGGGGAATGGGATGAAAATCAAAGCCGCTGTCTAGCCGGGACCAGGACCTTCCAACAGGTGTTTTTGGGACACCTCTTAACCTCTAAGACTCTAAGAGGCTATTCATAGACACCTCTTGGTGTCGGTCCTGGTAGATAGCAATCGTGATGGGAGAGTGAGTGATGTATACGTTGGCCCAGCTGAGCCTGCTCAGATCGACCTCTAAGGCACCGATGAACATCTGTGGCGATGTGCATGGGTGACGCACTGAGACCTCCATCCTCCACCCTTTCGTTCGGGTAGGGCGCAGAGGGTGGGACGGTGGAAGAGGGGGCGTGGGCTTTCGGAACTCTGCGTGGGCTTCCTTCGGCCCAGCGGCGAAGGGCAGCGGACGACCGTCCTTGTGCTTTTCCGCCGTCGTTTCGGAACTCAACGCGGTTGGTCGACCTTCCGCCCCCGAGGCAGTTTCACGACTTGCTCCGCATGTTCGAGTATGGGAAGTTTCCGTGGCGTGGCCGAAGGAGCGTGCGGACCTAGGACTGGACTCATAGGTCTTCTCCCGCAATGGCACTCTGATGTCGGGGGACATCCGAGAACGAAAGCCGACACGGATCCGGCTGTGGAGATCCGAAGGGTCTTGTGATATATAGGGCCCCGGTAGTTGGAGATACCCCTTATAAGCTCTCTATAGGAGCTATATATATATATACATATAGATTAGACACCCCGAAATGGGGGGGCCCTGGTATCGATATGCCACGGTCACTCAATGTGATGTCGATTTCATCAGTAGCCGCTGTCGCTTCGGCGGCCGGCGAAGCACCGAGGCCGGACAGCAACTACCTCTTTCTCGGCGACTACGTGGACCGAGGCGGGATTTGTTCGGAGGTCATGTATGGATCATGGTGGATGGATCATGGGAGCAGCTTGCAGCACCAGTCATCAGGGCCGGCTGCTCGGCGCCCGGGCCAGTGGCTTTTTTCGGGTCATGTGGGATTGCAAGCTCCCATCGGGGAAGGAACCGTTGGTCGTGGCTTTTCCCGTTCTTATCATTGAACGCCACCTCTCCACAGGTAAGCAGAGCCTTGAGACGATTGTGCTCCTCTTCAGCTACAAGGCACGGAGCCTCCGGTCCATCCGCGATGCGGAAGGGAGCGACGGGCGACCGGGTTGGGTTCGTCTTCTGGTGCCACAGGTGGAACGAGTCGGGAACTGACGGATCCTTTGAGGATCTCTTTTCCCATCTCGTTCGGGATCTCCAAGCGGCAGAGGGTCCTCCATCTCTTGCAGGGGTGCATGTTCTATCACTGATAACGCCATTCATTTGCAGCATTTTGGGACCGATTTAGGACTGCCTTCAAGCCCCACCTGTCTCACTGCTGTAGGTGTTGTATCCCGAGAACTTCTTCCTGCTTCGTCGAGCGCCCAATAGGGAGGGCACGCGTTTGGAGGCGCCAACAAGTGGTGGTTCGAGATCAAGAGCCAACAGCTCCATGGAAGTTCGGACCTTTCGGTTCTGGCAGGTTCCTTGTAGCATACTCGGTGATCCACCAGGGTCGACTCGATGACCCGACCTGTGCAACGAAAGGACGGCCTTCCGGAATAGAGGGTCGACCTGTTGGATGCTGGTCTATGGGACATATGGGACACGGCCCAGGTCGGGCCGAGCCGAGTCTCTTGGTGCGAACGAAGGAGGACCGGGACCCATGTGGGACCAACCCCAAGTTAAGCAGAAAGCTTGCATATAGTTATAAGATCCAGGTATAATCCACTGTGTTCCACTCTGTTCAGCACAGCAGGTAGCAAGGCTGTCAGGCATGGCTGCCCCATGCCTGACATGGCATGACCTGACCTCCAGACCTGCCACGCTGCCGTCCAACACCGGGCGGATCCATCAACCACCCGAGGCGGAAACCATGAAAGCGCCTCGATTACGCGGATCTATGGTTTTTACGACGAGTGCAAGCGGCGTTTCAATATCAAGCTCTGGAAGACCTTCTGCGACGTTCGGGGCCCCCAGCCAGAGGAGTCCGCGTGTCTGGAGCGAGACGAGAGGTCGGTGGGACAGATGCGGGTGGTGGTCGGTGCTTCGTGGCTCCGTGTCTTTGTTTGGTACCTCGGGTTGGAACGGGCGCGAAAGCCAAGCGAAACCGCCAGGAGTCACAGCGCAATGGGGTGGATGTTGAGTCCCATCAGTGGATGTGACGTGACAGGGGCACCCCGACTTCCTCCATGGATCGCACCCCGACTTCCTCACGTGACTGCTTTACAGATGCCGAATATCAACGAGGATGGTGCCCACGGGTGGACACGCGTCAGCGATGTGTGTCGGATTCGCGGTGATCCGTCGAGACGCGGTCGGGCGCCAGGTGTTCAATTGTTTGCCGATCAGCGCGCTGGTCGACGAGCGCTGTGCTCAGTGGGAGAAGGATCAAGAGAATGAGCTGCAGACATGTAAAACACCAAGATGGAATAACATAAATGGAATTTAATATTATGACCACAATCAATATCAAGTGGCCTAGCGGATCACCGGTTAATAGCAAATCAAATAAGCCGATGTAAACAAAGGCCAGGAGATTCAAAGGATCGAATGCTGGAGGAAATCGGGGTGCCCCAGATCCACATCACTGGGGACTAATTCCACCGAACTCCCGGTGACTCCCAGACCAAACTCCAGAGACCATTGACTTATTTGGACCGAATGCGTCACCAACTTCGCCAGCTTCCCTTCCCAGGTGTCCAAAGTCTTCATGCCAGGTGCCGCCTTTGGCTCAAACGGATTCATGCCCAGAGCCTCCCCCATCTGTCGCCGCTTCGTGCGGCGCGTCGACCGTTCGGCCGAGATGGTGCGGCGCTTCGTGCGCTCGCACCGACGATTAGGTGACCAAGACATGAGGAGCGAACTTCCAGAGGAGGATGACTTTGTCCTGGTGGACCTGTCCTGGAACTTCTTTGGTCATGAGGGGCTCTCATTGATTACCAGCTTCTGCCAGCGACAGTGGAAGCTGCAAATCCTGAAGCTTCACCACTGTCACATCAAGGATGACTGTGCTGAGGTGCTCGGAGGCCTTTTGATGAAGAACCCCCTTCTTGATGAGTTGCATTTGTCTCACAACTCCATTGCAGCCAGTGGTGCCCTCTATCTCGTGCGAGCAGTGGAACGGGGCCGTGCGTTGCACCAGAGTCCCTTGTGGCTGCGCTTGGAACATAACCGTATTGAAGGCGCCAAAGATCTCCTTTATGACCTGCAGCAGCAGGGCAGCGTGTGTGGCTTCCATCCGAGAAGATGCAACGCTCGGAGCTGTGGTGAGAACCGCAAGATCCACCTCCCATACTTCACGCACCAAGACGGCCAAAGCGCCCGCCCGACCTCGCCCGACCGGTCTGATGTCTCAGACGCCTCGTCCTACGAGCGTGATCCCTGGTGGGGCCAAAGGATCGACGACCTCCCGCGGACGCCGCGCCGCACGGACGCCGCGCGGAACCGCAGCCGTTCGGCCGCGGCGCGCCCGTCTTACCGGCGCGCGGAGGCGGAAGGCGGCGGCGGGGTGCGGCCGTGCCTCAGTGTTCGCGAGCTCTTGGCCTGGGAGGAGGAATTGATGGCCCGACAGCGTCAGCTGGATGAGATGGAGAGGAGGGCCTTGGCACGGCAGGAAGCGACCCAAGCAAGGAGCTTGCATCGCAGGTGAAAAGAGCTGAGGTTTGGGGTGGGAGAGAGTCATGATGAGTCATTGGATGTCATTTGCATATAATTGCATTGGTTGTTCAAATGACCAAATGACCAAATACTAAAATTAATGATTATAATACATGGATCCCCAGCCTTCAAGGACACTTTGAACATTGGTTGATTTGATTTGTAACCATTGATGGTTGTGTGGGATTCCTTTATCAACCCCCCAGGCATTCCAACGACCATTGGTTCAATAGCCTGAATCCCGAAACAACCATTGTCTTACTAAGGGTTCGAGATCAATCATTTTAAACAGGATTCTCAAACTTCAGGGACCAGCAACAAACCAACAAACCACGAATCCAAAAAAAATGGCCGGCAGAGGAAAACGAAGACGGTTTATGAAAACAGGCGATGTCGCATCACCGGCAACGGGTGCTAAAGAGGATGAACACCAAGCATTTTAACGTTCGCTTCGCTAGGCCAGCCTTGCCGGAAAGGTCTGACTCCAAACCGTTGGGAACCGAGACGCCGCTTCGGTTCTCGCGAATCGGCCCAGGAAGGTGATTTGCATGCACGGGGGTCTCTCACCAGAGTTGCAGCATTTTGATCAGGCACCGAACTCCGTGGTCGCGCGGTGTGGTTCGGGAAATGGTACGGAGATGTTCCAAGGAGAGTCCCAAAGCCAGAACCGAAAGAGGGGTTCAATTAAGCATAAAGAAGCACGACATGGGTCACGAGCAGATCCTAGCCTTTTTCAGATCTCTAAATCGAACCTCCTCCTACTACGGCGCCTCTGCCTTCCTTCACCCCCAGGGGGCGGACTCGCTCCCGGCGCGCAGATTCGGAAGATTGTCCGGCCCACCGACGTGCCCGATAGCGGCCTGGTCTGCGACCTGCCGGGCGCCCAGACGAGTCCGCGCAGACGAGTCCGAGCGGGTGGAGCTGCCGGTGCCGCGTTCGGGGGTCCGAAGGGACCAGGAGAGGTTATATCATGTGTAGTATATATATATATAATCATATATATATTATATATTACTCTATATATATATATAGTGATTGTATATATCTAGGGTGCTAAAGGCTTCAATTCGGAGCGTTTGTTGGGCAGACTTGGCCGCTGGGCCCCAAGTGCCAAGTGAACACTTTGGCGAGAATTGTTCAAACGAAGACCTTCTCAGGGTGAAACTACATACCTGTATTTTCCAACTACTAATGTCAAGTTTTTTGCCTTTTCCTCTTGAAAACTATCGCCAAGTCTGCAGTCATTTTTCCATACTTGGGTCTTGCCAGGTATGTCGATCTGCCACATACTTGCCATACATTGGCAAAACCTCCAGTTGTTGTGAAGATCTTCGGCCTGGTGACTTCCACCTCCCCGCTCCCCGCTCGAGGCTGTGGTCCGACCCCGACAGGACGGGCCATCGGTCCGGGCAGAGCTGAAACATACCATGTACCGAGCAGAACAGAAACCGCGAACCGCGAGAGTTCATGTCTGTTCCAGATCTGGTTCCACATGATAGAGAGTCTTTTTTGTTCAATGCAGTATTTGTAATTATTTGTAATGTCGACGTCAACATGTCCCTCTATCCTCAGCGCTGGAAACCTATCGCGGTGACAAGCCTCTGACAGGGTCACAGGAGGCAGGAGTTTTGCCCGCCTTCTCCATCCGATGGAGCTCCATTCAATGCCGAAAAAGCCGGCCAAAAAGAACCAGGAAACTGAAACAGCCAGAAACTAATATGGGAAAACAACAATTGCCATAGCGGAACAGCTCGATCTTTTTGGAACAAAGAAATATATATATATATGTGCCTAGAACCCAAATTCACCTCTGTTTTGATATGAAAAGACCCTGTTTTGGCTCCAAAACAGGGGTCAATCAGGTTCTACTCTAGGTATATATACTCTAGACTTCCAACCACTATTAAATTAATAGGCTTTACCGAACCAACCAAGGAATTTACACTACAAAAACCAGTTCAACCATTTTTAAAATGGTCTTGGAATATCATTTCGATATGATTTGAGGGTCCGAGACGCCTGGTGAAGGTCCTTCCCTCCGCCAGGGACTACGTGGGCTGGGCGGAGAATGACCGGGGCGTCTCCTACGTCTTTGGGACCGATGGGGGGGTCGGTCGTCGTCGCTGCGTTGGTCGGTTGGTCGGTCCGATTCTGAGGATCTCAGGAACATCTTTCCCTCCTCCGAACCTTCCGATCAGCCCGTTTTTTCGTGTGATTGGGTCTCACCTGGTTCAACTCTAAGTGGCACAAACGACCGAACTTGTCAGAGACGACCCGTGTTCTTGCGGAGCCTGATCAAGGCGCTGATGAAGGCGCGGACGGAAACCGGAACTGCATCGGAAACCAGGTGCGAATTCTCTCCAGGACAGATGTGGTGGCGGCCTTTCTGAAGCGCTACAACCTGGATTTGGTTTGCAGGGCGCACCAGGTGGTGGAAGATGGGCATCCCTGGCATGCCTGGTGAACCACGCGGGGCGATTTGGTGCTACCGGTGTGAAATTTGGGTAGGCACCAGTTGGAGACAAACATGAGAGAAACCCTAGAGAAGAGTGGAAAATGTCAATAGGGATGAGGTCCCAGTATAGTTGCTATATAGGTACTTGCCATATACTTTTGGCTCAAGTGCCCAACCAGGGAAAAAGGAGCTTTAGCGCGCGAGCTTCATGTTGAACTAAGGGCTAGAACGGGGCCTGGGCACGCCTTTTCATCCGTTCGCAGGTTATCAGCCGTATCCAGACTCCTTGGAGCTGGGTACGTGCTGCGGCCTTACACAACACCATCTAAACGCACACGCATCGGATAGATCAGTTACCCTCAGTCACTGAAGATGGAACAATCCGACGCCAGCACTGCATCCTTTGGAGCAGCTGCTGCGGCCGCAGATCGGATGAGTGCATCCCACAATTCTAGTCCAGGTACGGTCGAAGTGGAGACTCTGACAGTGGTGAGAGAAGGTGCGACAGGTAGAGCGCGAAGTCGTTCCCCGTCAGCGCAATCGACACCACCGGGGGGGACACCAAGATCAGGCCGTAGCCCTAGGGAGACGAGGAGGAGGACTGACACCGGGGCTGTGAGAGTGCTAGCATTGGAGGATGGGTCAACTGTACCAGTACCGTCGGACAGCGAAGCTGGAGACGGGGCAAGGGCAAGCACTGACAACCTACAACTAGCACGGGCCGATGGAGACCTGAATGCGAAGTGTGCGCAACTACTTGCCGAAGTGCATATGTTGAACCACCAGAACGCATGGATGGTCGAATGTGAGCAGAGACAGAACCAGATTATACAACACGAGACCGAAGTCCACGAAGTAGTGATGGCACACCTCGAAGAATGTTATGTCGAAGGATATGGAAATCAACGAAGAATCTCCCAGCTTACAGAATCCAGAGACTGTTTGCTCTCGGCAGCACACGATTTGCAATACCAGATTGACACTGATCGTGTGGCAATGCGGGATCGTCTCACCCAGTTAGGGGAGTACGCTGATCGCAACAGCGCAGAGATGGTTAGTCAAGTTGTGAGCATCGGCACGGAAGAGATCCAGGCTATATCGGCGCAAAGAGATCGAGCCATAACCGAGGTCATGACTGCAGTCTCAGATGCTGAGAACATTAGGGATCTGTATAGACAGGAGTTAGTTGGACTACAAAGGCAGAGTGCCAGGAACAAACACGAATATGCTGAGGAGATGAAGATGAAGGAAGCAATGTATACAAGCAAGATCAAATGGTTATCAGAAGAGAATGAGGAGCTCAGCAACCAATCTTGTAATCAGGACAACTTCATCATGACCATCAGGGAGCAATTGAAGAGAGCGAACGAGGAGTTAGCACAGGCGAGGATTCAAGGATCCGATCGACTGTCTCAACCATCCAACGCCGAACTCAAGAAAGCTGAGGTCAAGATGAACATGTTGGAAGAAGACATTCTACGTAAAGAGAGGATGCTGAATCGTCTTCAGGAAGAATTGATCGAATCGAGCGCAAGTGAAGCACAATTGAAGGTCGCACTGACGTTGAAACCACCAGATATGGGATCAGGACCCAATGTGGAGAATGAGGTGATGACCAAGCTTAGAGCGGAACTTGGACGTACCGAGAAGTCATTAAGGTCCGAGGAGAAGGAGGCAATGGAGTACTACGAAGGTATGATGCAGAACCAACAGGATATGATGGAATACGAAGCGCATGCAGCACGACTCAGAGATGAGAGGAGCAAGTACCGGAGGAGGTACGAAGAGGAGCGCTTGAATGCAGAGAATGCAGCCGCAACCGAACATGGTGCCGCTTCATCCTCTAGCTCGGGCGGCTCCAAGATATCTCGGAAGGAACACGAGAAGATCAACATCCCTGCATGGCCCAAGATACACGACTTGGAGGTTTGGAAATCCCAGGTTGTAGCGGCAGTCGTGACGGCATCGGGCGACGAAAGACAGGAAGATTGGATCCAGTGGCTCTCGGATGCCTTCAAATCACCATATGACCCATTTCTGCTCGAGACATCAGGCGAGGCAAGATTCGCTAGCATAGATGCTAAGCTAGGTATCACCCTACATACGATCATCCACGCAGCAGGCGAGAGATCTCATGACGTACAACTGAAGGTGAGGCAGATGATGCAGAGACGTGCGAGAGGCACAACTCCTGGAATGGTCAAAGGACGAGAAATGTTAGCGTTGATCGTCGACAGCTTCCGGAGTGCCGACAACGTTGATGTGATGTATGCATCCAAGCACTTATTCGATCTAAAATTCCCTGGGGATAATCAACTATCCAGATTCCTTGGACAGTGGGATGAGATCATATCAGGTATGGATGCGGACGACATGCTTCCTGACAAAGCACTCCGCAACCTGCTTTGGGATAAGATTAAGGATTCCAAAGTTATGGCGTTAGACTTGTCCGTGTACGACAACATGTTGGACAAGGATCCGGACAAGACCTACCAGAAGTTACGAGAGATCATGGCGAAGTGGATACGGAAATCAATCGAGACCACAAACAAGAAAGAAAGGGAAAAGGCTTTTGGGAAC